GCTTAGACAACATAATTGAAGATAAAGACTCTTATAATCATTATAGCTCAGTGATAGTTAGATTTATTGCAACAATGTTTACATGAATTAATAAACTTAAAATGCTTGATTGATTATTTGAACCTAACTTGCGAGCTCCCATCGCGATGAAGAAATGGAGAAGAACAGCAATAAATAAATGGAGAAGTGTAAAGCAAACCTAGGAGTGGAGAGACATGAGTACCTGCACGAGCAAAGAAGACGAATGACGTGAAAGGCAGCTGCTCGAGCGAAAGAAAAAAGAGAGGGGTTTTGTGAAATGCAGGGGGGTTTGACAGAAGTTAAGGAGTTGTGTAGAAGCGAACCAGAAAGAAGAGGCAGACAAGAACAAGAAGACAGAAGAAGGATAAAGCAAAGAGTATTATTCATTGTGTTCTTATTACAGTTAGCAGATTATAATATATATAACAGAGCTTATACAGCTTTGTACAATACAACCAATCAAAGACTGCCAGCACATCTATAGTAAATACATAAATATAGATATGTGACACTTATACGCCCCTACAAACTAATGAGTCCTGATTGATCGTTAGTTTGTTTCATAGTTGTAGAAAGCTTAGTGTAGAAAAAGCTTTGGTGAAGATGTCTGCCACTTGGTCTGCGGTATTGATAGGGAGAAGATAAATATGTTTGTTTTGAATGTGATCTCGTATAAACTTTTGATTTATTTATATATGTTTTGTACGAGCGTGGAAGACAGGATTGTTGGCAAGTGTTATAGCAGAGGTGTTATCACAGTACATATCGGTGGGGTTATTTTGTGATATGTCAAAATCCTGCAGGAGACAACGAAATCATAAGATGTCTGCTGTTGGAGCTGCCATAGCACGGCATTCGGATTTCGTCGAGATTCGAGCAAATGTATGCTGCTTTTTGAGTGTCCATGTGATGAGGTGTTGCTAAGAAACGAACAATAACCCGATGTGGACCTTCTAGAGATTGGATCTCCCGCCCAATCGGCATCTGAAAAGGATTTACGAGAAAGATTAGTTTTAAAAATTTGTATGTCATAATCAAGCGTACCTTTGATGCATCGTAGAAGACGTTTTAGTAGGTAAATATATTGAGGAAGTGGATGATGCATGTGCTGAGATAGCTGATTAACACTGTATGCAATGTCAGGTTGAGTTATCATTAAGTACTGAAGAGATCCAATGAGTTTTCTGTAGGTATTGTGGTCGGAGAGAACTGGATCCTCCGAAAGATTGATCGGAAGCTTCGTGCAAGTGGGATTTGTTAATGGTTTGCATTAAGTTAGCTGAGCTTGCTGAAGGAGATTGTAGGCATAGGTTTTCTGATATAAGAAGTGCTTGTGATCTGAGTATGTTATCTTAATTCCCATAAATTCATTAGTCGGACCGAGATGCTTCATAAGAAAGTGATTGTTGAGTTTGGAAATGACCATGTCTATAGTATGTTGATCATTGCCTGTTTTTAGTATGTCATTGACATACAGAAGCAAGTAGATTTGAACCAGTGTCTACTTAAGAATTAGAAGTGAGGGATCTGTATTGCTGTGAGAAAAACCGATAGAGACAAGATAAGATGTGAATGTATTGTACCACTGTCGTGGTGTTTGCTTAAGTCTGTAAATAGATTTGTGAAGGTGGCACACGTAGTCTGGATGTAAAGTATATTCAAAACCTTTTAGTTGTAACATGTATATTGTCTCTGAAAAGTTTCCATGGAGAAAAGCATTAGCAACGTCTAGTTGGTGAACCTGTCATTCATTGTGTAAAGCTATAGTTAAGAATATGCGAATTGTAGGAAGTTTGGCCACTGGGCTGAATGTTTTCGTATAATCCACTCCATATTCCTGATGGTTTCCTTGTGCTACGAGCCTGGCTTTGTGTTTGTCGACTGACCCATCAGCATATAGTTTGAGTCTGTATGTCCATTTGCAGCCAAGGATAGACGCGTCCTTCGGAGGATGAACTAGGCTCCATGTGCCTTGTTGTTGTAGCGCTATGAACTCCAGAGTCATTGCTTGACGCCATTCAGGATGTTTGTTTGCTTCGGTCAAATTGGTAGGTGCTGCAAGCAAATCAGAGTGCGTGAGCATATGGCATAAGTTAAGTCAAACAAGAGGTTTAAGCGACCCAGTTTTAGTCTTGGTCACCATCGAATGAGGTTGAATAGTGGGAGATGGTATATGTGGAGAGCTTTGTTGTTCAGGTGGCGAGGGGATGCCTTGAGTGGATGGAGCAGGGACGAGATCAATTGTAGGCATAAGCACGGGAGTATGTTGTAGTGGATTTGGTTGTTTGATAAAAGAATTGACAGAGGCAGGTGTAAGGAAGAGCGGAGAGGGTTCAATAATCAGATTGGTAGGAGATAATTGTGTGGAAAATGGAAAAGATTGCTATTCAAAAGTTGTATGTCGAGAAATGAAAATTTTGTTAGTAGTTGGATCAAGGCATTTATAGCCTTTGTGAGTATCTAAATAGCCCATGAAAACACACGATTTTTCCTTTGGTTGAAGATTGTGATTTGTGTGAGGTGGAGTAAGAGGGAAGTAAGCGCATCCGAAGATACGAAGGTGGCTATAATCCGATTTAGCATTATGTAAAAGTTCAAAAGGTGACACTTTGCGTTTAACTGGTGAGGGCATTCGGTTAATCAAATAAACAGATGTCAAAACTGCTTCGGGCCAATGTAGTTAAGGGATAGAGGCTGTGTGGAGCAGTGTTCGAGTTGTCTCTATTATATGTCTATGCTTTTTTCGGCAACTCCATTTTGTTCTGGAGTATATGGGCAAGCAATTTGATGTTTGATGCCATTCTCCATAAGAAAATGTTGCAGAGAGTTGTTTATAAATTCGGTGCCTCTATCAATGCGAAGAATTTTAATAGATTTTGACGTATACTTCTCAATCTGAGTTTTAAAGGTAATAAATATATTAGTAACCTCGGACTTATTTTTCATGGGAAAAATCACGTAAATCTCGAAAAATCGTCTACAAAAATGACATAATAGAGAAATCCTTGAAACGAATCAATGGGAGCCGGTCCCAAAACATCCGAATGAATGAGAGAAAAAAAAGAAGTTTGATGAGTAACAGATTTATCAAATACTAGTTTGTGACCCTTAGACTGTTTATAAGAAATACAGGCAGACAAGTCTAAAGGTATGTTAAGCTGTGGATTATGCTTGGATATAAGATGAAGTATTCTCTTGTGAGGATGACCAAGTCTTGAATGCCATGTAGGTATGTTTGTAGCAGATAGTGCTTTTGGTTGAGCCGTGGATGAGCTAGTCCGAATTGGGTAGAGACCGTTGGTACACGGTCCTTGAAGAAGAACTTTCTTCGTCTTGAGGTTCTTAAGAACAAAACCCGATGGGTTAAACAAAATAGAAATATCATTATCTTTAGTTAATTTAGAAATTGATAAGAGATTGTAATGTAGTAGTGCATGAGTATGAAAAACTTGTGATAGAAGGAGCTTACGGGTTGGGGTTGGCAATAAGCCAGCCCCAGTATAAGCAATATTTACCGACCATCCATCTCCAATTGTAACACTGTCGTTGCCTTGGTATGAATTTGAGAGAGACATGTTGTCAAGGGAATTGGTATGGTGTGATGTTGCTCCCGAGTCAAGAAACCAATTGTTGGAGTTGTCCGAGCTTGCAATAAGAGCTCTGTTAGGATTATTAGTTGAAGGAGGAACGTACTGTGGGTTGAGGCGATGCCAGTAAAAAGTTGCGGAATGCCATTTCTTGAGGAAAATCTGACAGCAAAGTGACGGTGTTGCGGGAGGACAACTAGTAGTTTGGGCAGTGGATGTGTTTCTTCCTCTGTTTCGACAATATCTTCCACGGAACGCATAAAGAGCCAAGGCGAGATCGGTATGTGCTGAGCTCCTGACAGCATCCGAAGCAAGATTAATTTCTTCACTTAAAAGCAGAGGATAGAGTTGATCAAGGCTTATGGGGGTAAGCATCGTTCGAATGGCAAATTTAAAGGATTTATAGGGGCTTGGAAGGCCATTCAAGATATAGAGGATTATGTCCTCAGTGTCTACAGCCGAGCCAGCTGCGGCAATTTGATCAACCAAAGCTTTGATTTCGGAGAGATGTTGGATCATTGTGAGATTCTTAAGGGAGATATTGTGAAGAGTGTTCTTGAGTTGTATGACCTTGAATCTATTGGAAGATTGAAACCTAGTTTCAAGAACAGTCCAGATGACTGATGTGGATTCCAGATTGATAACATAGGGCAAGATTGAAATGGATATTGTGGAACACAAAGCAGCGGCAAGAATCTGGTCGGAGAGAAGCCACTGGGCAAAAGAGGAATTATGAATGGAAGAGCCATCTATTTGAGAAAGAGTGCGATTAGGAGGAATGGAAGATGAATCAAGAAACTTGTGAAAGCCGTGAGCTCGAAAATTTTTTTAAATCTGGGATTTCCAGATGGAATAGTTGACCGACGCTAGTTGAATTAGGATGATGTTTTTGATGTTTGACACAACGAACTTCAACGATAATGAGATATGAGGCTCCGCTTGATTCTCCGTGTGCGTTCGCTCGCTGTTTTGCGATGTTGCTAAGCTCGCCATGATCAGCCCGCTCTGATACCATGTAGAAGCAAAACAGAAAGAGAAGAGGCGGACAAGAACAAGAAGATGGAAGAAGGATAAAGCAAAGAGTGTTATTCATTGTGTTCTTATTACTGTGTGTGTATATATATATATATATATATATATATATATATATATATATATCTTATACAATTTTGTACAATACAATCAATCAAAGACTACAGTAAATACATAAATATGGATATGTGACACTTGTAAGTTGTAATGTAATTTAGATGAAGAGAATAGTATTTAGATGATGGTAGGTATGTAAATAATATAGTTTGGATGTTATGGATATAATTATAATAGTTTCAGGTTGAATGCACGTAAAAACCAAAAACAAAAAAAAAAACAAAAACAAAGCTATCGCTTTACCAGGACACGACAAAGGAAGCAACCGTACAAGCTCGACTCCCGACTCGTCCGCCGGCTAGACCGTCACCGAAGCAGAGGCACTTTGTGGCATAGCTCATCACTACCTGACTAACAAGCAACGCCGCAAAAGCCGACATTCCGTACACCGTCGACGCGTCGGAATCGTACACGCAGAAGGTTCGGTCATCGTACTCATCCGAGACCACTTTCCCCTGCAGAAAAACCGAAGGTGAGAAAGAGATCAGAGAAGAAATGGAGTGAGTGAACAGATCATAGCCCTAAAAGGTAAATGGGAGATAGAAAGATACCGTGCTTCGCCTCCTCTCGGCGCCAATGGCAAGGACGAAGGCAATGAGGTGGAGTGAGGCTGTCACGACCAATATCGTGACGGAGAACCCCATAGACTGAAGCAGTGGAGGTCGCGGCGGAGGGAAATCGCGGAGTTCTTTACTTCACTTGACTAGTTTTCACGGCAGAGGAAATTTTGTTTGTCACTTTCCCAGGTAGGTAGGGGTGTAAGTGGACAAATTATTAAGTCCGGTTCTTCCGATACCAATTCAAATGCGTCATGTCATCAAATACACTGGTCCCAATGTATTTGGGTGATCTAACACGTATGAATTGGATGTCCGGTAATCGGACGTAATAATTCGCCGTGAAAGTGAGCCAGGCTCGCGAGAGCCTTCTTGAGCTTTACTCATTTATGAGGCAGCGAGTCGAGTTTATGGAGCCTTCTTGAGCTCGAGTTCAAATTTCAGCTCGACGTTGCTCGGCTCACAACCGACTCTAAATTATTAAATTTAACTTTTTTAAAAAAGTTAATAATAATACTGCTACAATTTCAAAATCTCTTCTAATTCTCAAAATCCTGTCGTCTATTTTCTAAAAAAAATCTCGTTGAGAATGACAATCTCTCTTTCTCTCTCTCCCCGTTGATAGGCTTTTGTAATAAATGCTAATTGGCTAACACTCAAAAAATATGCTTATATTTCGATACTCTCTCCCTCTCTCTCCTCCGACAACTACTAATAAATGCTAACATCCTAAAAATTGCACACATCTCAAAACTCTCTCTCTATCATTCTCTGGCTGTATAAAGACCAAAACCCCAAATTAATTTTTGGAGGAATGGACGCATTGCAAGACGAATTGACCGAGCCAAACGGGCGATTGGACAAGCGGCTTGAACTCGTTTTTTTGTAGAACTAGTCGAGCTCGAGCTCGGTATATGATAGTTGAGCTCAACTCGATCACACCCTGACTCAAAGCTTGACTCAACTCGTTTGCACCCCTATTCCTAGGTAAGCTTGATATTCCTCGCTTTCTTCAATGGAGTATCAGCAGCTAAAGCATGATATTTCTTATTGTGACAGTTTTTATTTTTTATGTGAAATTTACAAAATAAAATTCACAAAATTTTTTATCATGTTAAGATTATATAAGTACAATGGATCTAAGAGAGATTTCTATATTGTTTGAATATAGTTCATACAAGGTTCAACAGTATTAATAGCGGTGTCAATAAAGAATCCGACCCGACGAATTGAACTTATCATCAAAAATTTAAATTCGATTTAACCTAATTAATTTTCGGGTGTGATTCGGATTGTCTTATTTTCGAGTTGGGTTAAAATTGATCAAAAATATGAAATTAACCTAAAATTAACTCAATAATTGTTCATTTTTGGATTAAATAACTTAGGTTTAGGTTAAAATTGTCATTTTTTTTTAATGTGGCATATTTAAATTTAGCCGTTTGTATTAATATAAAAATTTTCAAAATCTATTTGATAAACGGAACAAATGAATCAAGTTCAGATTTGTCAAGTTTGAGCTGAGTCGAGCTTTTATCATATATTTTGATCGATATGATAAACAAGTAAGATTCGTGTAAAATATATTTTAGTCGAGTCAAATCTTAGCCAGACCCGTGAACCCAAATTAACAAAACCATGATTCATTCGCTAAATCGCATCACAATGAGAAGCAAAACATCTATAAAAAGTCTTAATGAGAAGCATTATATTAAATCAAAGTAATTATATTTTAACTATAGCAATAAAGGGAATATATCCACAATAGCTATAACATAGTAAGCAAAACTTTTAATACAATCATAATATTTATAACATATCACAATTGAATTGCTCCTCATATGTCTTGAGTATTCCAGTTCTTAATACTAATAAACCTAACCTCACTCTATTCAGTAAAATACTTATAATACTCATTTGTATCTTTATAAACTCCTCAAATCTAACAACATCTATGTCACTTTAAAAAGCCATAATTTATGGCTAATCGATATTGTTGGGACTCCATAAATGTGTTATTGAATAATATCTATATTAAAAAAATTATCATTAAATAATAACGTGTATTTTTTTAATTTGTAATTGTGATTTTAGTCTGTCAAGCTCATTTAATGATCAACCATCATTGGTATTCAAGGGGTATTATATTCTGAATGGAAATTTTGTGGTTATTTCTAAAAAATAACTACAAGTACAATGCAATGTCCATTATGACAGTACCTAGTCTATATGCAAATTATCTAAATTGAACCTAATAAGAATTATAGGCTTATTTAAATATTTGTGAATTTATGTGAATTTGATTTAAATAGAAAATTTTCTTGGGAGCACTGTGGTGTTGGGATTCGAGCATTGTTAAACTAAGATCTTTGTCTGCGTAAATAAAATTTGAGTTCTTTGGAGCGTTGCAGTGCTGCCTTGTCTATATGTTGGATAGCACTTGGGAGCATTATGACATTAAGGATGAGGCCCTGAGATAACTTGAGATCTTTGTTTATGTGAATTTTTAATAAATAAAAATTCCTCGGGTGCCCAACGGCGCTAGTTAGCATAGCGACACTTGGATAATTTTATGTTTTTTTATAAATATCAAAAGCATTAACTCAATAACCCTTGCCCCCATTTCAATCATTAGAAATGCAGAGAGATTAGCCAAATGACAGAAAAGTGGAAGATAAATGAAATAAAAGAAGAAGTTAGGGTTTGAAGGTCATGGAGCAAGATTTGTTTGCCAAACCAGTTGAAGGAATTGTTGGTCTATACTTTAATTTTTATTTTGGATAATTTGGGTAGAAGTTACATAATTTTATTTGATTTAAATAAGTTTGGGAAACTTTTCATAGTATAAATTTTTATATGATGTAGAATAGAGAATTCTCAGCATTTTGATAGGAAAAACTCAAAGTGTCACCACGTGGTTTTAAATATAGAGTTTTTATCTAATTTTTAATTATGTTGTTGTTAATAGAAAGTGTGATAGAAAAATAAAGCCCCAAAATGATGTTATAGATGTGAAGATTATTGTGGATATTTTTGTGTAAAACAAGTGAATTTATGAGAGTCCTTACGTTTATGTATATTTTTATGTTCATGCATTCCTCCATCTATTTTTAACAGATACAAAATGATCAAGTTGAGTTATAAGGGGAATCAAGATGTATATAATCTCTTCATCCATCTTAGATGTGAGATAATCAAGTGGAGGTATTAGTAGAAGTGAAGATATAAGAAGGCATTAAAATTTTTGAATATTATTTTATATTCTAGTTCATGTTATGTTGTATATGAAGCTATTTATTTTATAATATCAAGTTTAGTAAAATGTTTTTGTGATACTTTGAAATGTTATAATTATTTTGAAGTCCTGTTTAAGTGATATATATATAGAGGTGTTAATTTGGGTCGACATGTCGAGTTCGGGTCCAACCTGAGTTAACATGAACCTGACCCTTCAGCTAAATAGGTCGAGATTTTCAACCTGGACCTTACCTGTGCAGGTTACCAGGTTGACACGACTCGACCTGCGAAACTATACACGAACAGGCGGGTTAGGGTACGTCCGTTCAAGTGAGGGTCGTGAGGCTTCGCTAATCCCTACAAGCGCCTTTATCTACGTGGGTGCCAAGCCAAGGAGTGTGACGCCATACCAATTTTCCATTGGAACCGGTGTACACCTTGCTCCCACTATGGAGAGCTCAACGTACCACATATCCGGGGCTATTTTCCACAGCACAAAGCCGTCGGACTCCACTGGCGAGCCACGATTCTTCATTACTCTTTTCATCGTTTCATACTCCGTCGCCACCATCTTTAGCTTCCCCATTGCATGCGCATTGCAGATGGAGCTCTACATCTTAAGCCCATAAGATGCTGCCATGTTATATTGAAAATTTTACTAAGCCAATGAACTCTCCTATATAATTAACACATCCTCTCCTTTTTAATCTCATTTTTTAAACAATGGTTGCATGCTTTTAAGCATCAAAGTTGAAAAAGGTTACTGTTTGAGTGTTCTTGATGTTGAGATGAGGAAGAGGAAAAGGGTTGAGAGAGCTAACATGGAGTGGAACCAAGGGAGCACCCATGACACCAAGGAGAAGGCGAAGGTCCGAGTGATGATAACCACTTCCTCCACCACCAGTCATGGCTGAGGAAACAGAGGGTGTCCAAGAAAGTTGACCATGAATCGGCAGATCGCAGACACACTAGTCAAGTTGATTTCATGCAAAATTAGGTTGATTTTGGGCTTCTAGGTCAACCCGAACCCAACCTGTTTTTCTAACGTGTCAAAAACTCAAACCCAAACCCAAAATTTTCTTGTTCGGGTCGGGTTTTGGATCAGGTCAGATTTTAACACCCATTTACCTATATTGTCACTATCACATTTGCATATCCATAGCATTTTTCTAATGGTGTGATATGCAGTTATTGAATATAATATGCAATATAAATATTAGGATGGTCCATTTTTAAATATAATATATTGTTCATATGCTATAGATTCATATAAAAGTTCTTTATATAATTTCTTTGAATTACGTAGTAATAGATTTCAGATGACCTACTAAGCATATGATTGCTCATTCTTTGTATTATAAGTATTATCATAAAAAGTATAACACCTATTGAGTGGACTGAGTTGATATAGGCTATTAATTGGATTGGACTTCAAGTTTAGGTGTTTTTAGTATATACATATATTATTTTGTTAGTCATGACTACATTTATCTTTTGATGAAATGAAAATGAACAATGTAGGAAAACCTTGTATTAACATTGAACTTTTCGGCTGATGTAAATACGTCGGTAATAGCGGCAACCCAACTAGCATATATTTCATCGATAATGTAATGAAGGAGTTACCGGAGAATTTTCTGTTGGCCTTTTACCAACGGATTATCCACCGACATATTTGTCATTATTTATAAGACCAATATTTTTTTATAGCGCATTATCCACCGGAAATTACCAACAAAATATCCGATGGATATTGTGTCGGCCAATTTACACCCGATGAATACATTCTAGAAGATATTTTGTCTAAACTATTTCGGTGGAAACTTCAGCAAAAAATATGATGGAGAAAGCTCTATTTCCCTCTCAGCATCATATTCCTCGTTTTGGTTTGCTCCGCTCTCATCAATCGCCTCAGACGAATGCCACTGCCATCAAGACAA